TATATACACACACCATATGTTGTTCTATGTCATCTATGTTGATGAGGGAGGTGCAGGAGGGGAACCTCATGTGAGGCAGTTCTAAAACCAAACAGCAGATGGCACTTTTAATAAAGTTTTATAGAATTTTCTTAAACTAAACTAATAAACTAAATAAACTAAATAAATAAATAAACTAAATGTTCAAAATGAAAACCAAAATTTTGTGGACAAAAGCTGAAATTAAAATATTATCATATCTTTGGCATGGCATTTAAAAATAGCCTTCAACTGACTGATAACCAAAAAACGGGGGTAAACATTTCTTAGATGTCTGATTTATGTTTACATTTAAATCCAACTCCGCTCCTTTGCCTTCTGCATGTTTTCAGTCTCTTATCACCCTCTTGCCCTGTGACCTTTGCCACTGTAAAGAATTCAGCAGAATGAATATTTATTGCCCAAAGAAGGATAACATGGGGCGGCTGTGGCTGAGTGGTTAGAGGAGTTGTTACTCTACTGCGAGAGTTGGCGGTTCAATTTCACAGTTATTCGATCACGTTGGGCAAGACACTGAATCCCTGCTGCCTCTTATGTGTGTCTTATCAGTGTGTGAATGTGATTTAAGCACTAATGAGTCTCCATAGAGCATTTGTCTGGGTTAGTTTTGTTATGTAAAGTTCACTTTTTTACGTTTTTATGCTTCGATTAGTGTCTGTACTGCTTCCAGAAACAGTCCAAGTGCCAAACAGTTATTCCCAGCTGTTTCTTGTCAATATGTAAATGTTTTGTTAGTGTCAGCAAATGAGCTGTTTCAAAAACCTGTGGATTGTTACATCACAATGCAGGTAATGCCAAGGTGAGCCCAGCCCCCTAACCTGGTAACCCGAGTGGAGACTCCGCCCACTTCTTCACGTTAGTTCTGCTGTTTTTAACTTGTATTTTTGATGGCAATGTTCTAGCAATATTGCCAAAGAAAGTTGTAGTTTGTGCAAATAATTGCACGATGCACTTTGAAAACTAAGCGCACAGCAGGATTTACCCAAGGACTTTCAGTTGACGGAAACATCTGTCCCTACTGTTCGTCACGAATCTGCAGATGAGGGTGATGTAAGTGATGTGTTGTGTTTAGTATTGCTGTTTGACATGAACATGATTTGTTCTTTAGCACAAATTATTGTTGAATGCGCTCCTTTGATCGACGACCGAGGAGGCGAACAGCTTCGCCTTTCCCCCGTCACACGCCGGTTTCGGGAAGCGGTAATAGACGCGCTTTGGCCTCCTTGAGCACCAGTCTGTCGCCCTGTGGCCACACGGCGTGCATCGTCAACCGATCCAGCAGGGAGGATTTGTGCTGGAGAACTGGAGACTCCTGCGCCACAGGACTTCAGCCAGACGCTTCAGTCTGTCCCTACCAAGCCCTCGCCTGGTGTGGCCGCACTGTGCGCAGCCTTTCTACTGCTGTTGTACCGTTGTGCATCTCTTTGTACTAGTGACCATTTTCAAGTATATGAAGTTCTAACATAAAGGCTATGTTTGGAGAGTGGAGCTAATGTAAACAAAAGGTTGGGAGGGCATTGCCAACAACAGTTCTTTTCTCATAAACAGCTTGTTCTGAAGGGAGCTCAGAACAGGCAGAACTGAAAGGGTGAAATCTCACTGTCTGAGATTTATTTTGTGAATTAAATCAAATGGGCATGTTTTGCATAGCCCACAGARGTATCCTATCTTGTTCAAGGACCCCATAATAGGTCCTTTTTAATTATCTTGATGGGATAGAAAGGTGTTACAGTGCATAAGTAGACTAAAGTCCATGTTTTTTGCCTGTTTCTGTGTGTTGGTGAGATATCTCATGAACCACTGGATGGATTTTACTGGTTCTTGGAGAAAGTCATAATCAGATCTAAATCTATGACAAATACATTTTTTAAATGGATTTAACTCAGTCAAATGAACAGATACTGAGCCAAAATCTGATGTGGTAGTAAACTGTGTCGTAGCACTCGAGACCTGTCTGGAGACCCCCTTTCTCATCTCGACTGCATTTGTACCTGGTCTTGTCTCAGTCTCGGACAGTAAGGACTCTGGATTTTATTTGTCAATGCCAATGTCAATTTATTTATATAGCACATCGAGAAATATCTGTTAACCAAAGTGCTTCACAGTTACAGCCATAATCATAAAACAGTAGACAGAATGAAAACAGTAATAAAAGTAAATAGAGCACATAGTAAATTTTAAAACTAGCAATTTAGCATCTCACACATAATCCATCGTAGACCAGAGACCAGTTAATTTCCATTCCTCATTTCAGTCCATTTCAAGAACAGTTAAGACCACAACTGTGGAAAAATCACCAAATGTTCAGAATATTGTCCAATTTATTTGTTGACATCTTTGCTTTCATTGGAGGCAAAATTTAATGATTCACATCCATGCATGACTCATCTTGAATTGTGTATTTTTGTTACTGCTGTCACCCATTCCCCTCCCCTTTCCARTCACTCACAGCWCTCCAAGAAAGTGAACAGTGGTTGTCTGGGAGAAGGAGAAGAAGTCTGCAAAATCTTCAARAAAACAATTRGACTACATAAATCATAAAGATTATATAGTATTTCTGAAACAATATCCAGAGGAAAGTTAGCAACTTGTAAATTCTGCAGTGCTTCATTTTCAGAGATGGTGGGGACTCAAACTTTTATCATCTCACTTTGAAAGGAAGCACAAAAAAATGTCTCTGTACTCTGTACCAAATCTGTCTCTGCACCAAAATTCTTTGCCTGGCCCTTATTCAAAGAGATTTAGTCAATATTAGCTCTACATACTGTATTAAGTTAGCGACCTGCGTATAGTAAACTGTATGTTTRAGTGCACTAGCTTTTTTTTTCCTGTCTTGGTCTTGACTTGGTCTCAACCCCTAAAAGTCTTGGTCTTGTCTCGGTCTCGATACACTCTGGTCTTGACTTGGTCTTGGGTCAGGTGGTCTTGACTACAACACTAGTTGCAGATGAGAGTCACGTACTCTGAGCGTTACATCTCACAATACCCATAATATTATCTTCAAGGTCCGACCAAAACAACTACACCTCTGTCTTTTCTTGTTYTAAGATGATCTTAGTTTGAAACTTGGGTATAAAAGGTTGGTTAAAAATATGAAGTCCTTCCCTTTAATGCATTTATTTGTGTTTGTTTGTGTGCAAACATCTGCAAAACAACTAGAGGGAAGAATGACTTACATGTCCCCCTCTGACCTATGTGTTTGTTGCAGCGTGACGTATAGAACTTCTTTTCTCCAGTCACCTCTTGCATTTCCTATCATTTATTTACYACGTGCACTCTGCCTATCCTCTAAGGGCCGACTGAACTCAGAAATTAGAAACATGAATTTTTCTTTTTGTTTTTTAGTTTGGTTTTAGTTTTCTTTAAATGCGATGATATCCTCCCAGTGTGGATGCCCCAGAGGCGTAATAATCACGATTAAATGAAACATCAGCTCCTGCATACTTGCTCATCGGTGAGTCAGGGGTGACCAGCAAATCRTCTGCAGCCTGTAGTACGCGCTGTCACAAATAATTAATGTTACATAAACTAAAAACAGAGTTTTTAAAAAGCAGTTGTTCAGAAAGAATGCTGCTCTAGATTATCAACAAGCTGCTGTCAAAACTGGGTACAAACACTCTATGGATTATTAATGCATCATACAGTATTTAATGGCATTGCTCAGATTTAGATCCAAACGGACTGAATATAATAAAGAATAAATCTTTTGGGCTTGTGAAGAAAAATATTTTCCTTTAACCAAAAAGTTATTTTAAGGAAACAGCGTTTTAGTAACAGTGATGAAACACAGCTGGAAGAATTAATCATTTAACCGGACTGAGTACTGAGATGATTAATGAGGTCTTTTAGATAATCATTGACTCAAATTGTTGATGTAATTAACCATTAGCCGCAAACTTAAATGCAAATAAACACAGAGACAACAGCACCACCAAACACATTCAAAAATAGTAATGGGTTTAAAAGAATTACTCAAGATGAAGCTATTTTAACCTAGCCTGGCCCTTGCCTTCCTACACAGCTACAGTACTCTCAATTCTAGTTTCCCTTCACTGCTCCGTCTGGGATTTCTCCCATAGACAAGGATTTCTTTGGGAGCATTTCATTCGGGCCAATCAGAGAACAGAACGTTGATTTTCTGCACAGTGTCTGCTTGTAGTTTATTTCACCTGGGCCAATCAGCAAACAGAAGGCGGAGTTTTGAACGACGTTGATTTTCTGCGCAATGTCTGCTTGTTAGTTTAGCATACAGCAGTGGAGGAAGTGAATGAAGKCAGTCTGCGTTGATAAGGCTTCCAAATTAAATTAAGTTTGTCTGACAAAGCAGCAGCTCTCATTTACAGTCGTCTCGTTTGGCTCTGTACTTCTCTCCTCTCAGGAGGGTTGCTTACAGCGATTTCCGGTTAGCTTCTTAGCTTAGCCTCCTTCACAGCAACATACGTCGCGGCCAACTGATCCAATCATTTTAAACTTCAGCAGAGGCCACGCCTCCAGCAAGAATCGCTTCTCTGTAGCCGAGAGTCCAGACACTCGTACGAAGAAAAGTGAAGGACAAGGGTCTGGTTTTTACCAGGCTAATTTTAATCCTAAAAAATGTATAATTATGTTTTTGATGGTGTGCGTGTGTGTGTTGGCAATATATCTCTTTAACCAGTAGACAGAAGAGATTTCAATTAAGTAAACTGACAAAGTAAGTGGGTATATATCTACAACTTATTAACGTTTGGAGTAAAACACATTCATGATGACTGCCACAACTAATTAACTGTAGCAAACAGAAAAACATATCTACCTCAGTGAGTTTTACAGATATTTAGCTAAAACTTGACATGCACCTTTGAGTCCTAACACATATTTTGAGCGCTACCTGACTGTAGGAAATTTCTCAAACTTTGCCATTAATTGTTACATTAAACTCTGCCTGTCTGTCAGTGAAATATCTAAAAAAGCACAGAACCGATTTTCATTAAACTTTCAGGGAGGCCTAATTATTTGGCGTACATCTACAACTCGTTAACATTTGTAGTTTCAAAGCCAGTATTTTTACACATTTACTTGAGTAAAAAGCTTTAGTTGATACTTCTACTTCCAAAAAATCTTTTTAAACCCTAATWTCTATACTTCTACGTAAGCAATGAATGTGAATACTTCAGACACTTCTGGATTTTACTTTGAGATGACCATTGCAGCTAAAAGATCTTAAAAAAATACCGAACAGGTAATAACTCAGACAGTTTTACAGATAATGAGCTAAGATTTGATGTGACTGTATTCACAACACATAATCCGAGTGTAAATGCTGAGAATTCAGCAGTGTATACACGTGTATTGTCCAAGGAAGGATTGTGAWTGGGCAGCAGTTTGGTGAGCTGAGAATAATCTCCAGCAAAAGACCTTGCAGCAATGAGATTACAATATTTGACCAAAATCATGATAACTATGTCCGTTCTCATTATAAGATAAATCATAATCTAAAGTTCAGCAATGAAAAAGCCAGGGACATGTGTTCCTTAAAGGAATGCTAAGCCAAGGAATACTGTCCCTATAGAATAAATCCATACTGTGACTGAAGAAACGTCCATCGCTGACCGCTGTGGCTTGCAGCTGGCCTCAGTCCAGCAATTGAAACACCATATGCTTGTGAGTCTCTGTTACTGTACATGCAGCTGATCATCCATGTTGGCTTACCACCTAAAGGAGTTATCTCCATTCGCTGTCACTTTCTAGTAGTGCCACTCACTGAACAAGAAGCTTACGATCACAGAGAACTGGTTTTACATCTATAACAAGAGCTAAGCCAAATTAACAGAAAAAGTGGGGAAAAAATAACTTTGCCACCCCCCCCCCCCCTATCTGTCTTCTTCTTATCTATTAAAGGGTCAAAGTAGGACTGGGCTTCCTTTTGCGTAACAGTAGTATGGCAGAGTTGACCTTTAGTTCAAAGGGCATTGGAAGGGTAAGCGGGAGAGTAAAGCCGAGGTATTCAAACTAGTCACACCGAATTCAATTCACTTGGATTTAGTTTCAACACGTCACCCTTTCAAAAACAGGTTTACTGGTATTTTCAAATGCTTTTTTGAATAGTTTACCAAAGTAAACATGGGACCTAAGAGGCTATAGTACAACATTTGATCATAAACAAAACATTTCAAGGTTTAAGAAGAAAATGTTTTTTATACCACCATCAAACACCCAAACATTTTCTCACCTGTGGGCTGTTGAGAGGTCCATAATTCATGTTGGGGGCAGCCTGCAGAGGTACAGAAGGTGATCCCAGAGATGATGTGATGACGGGGTAGGGAGATGCCAGACCATTCATCGGCGAGCCCAGGCCCGACATGGGGGACAGTAAGGGCCGTGACGTGCTGATAACTGAAGGGTGGCCCACCATGCTGCCCATAGAAGGAGGATGAATGTGGCCTGCACTCATTGGCCCAGTTGAATCTGCAAGAGAAAGACACGTAGTCAGGTATTACTTAATAAAACATACTTAGAACTCAATAATGGCTTGCTTAACTGGGGCTTTGTGGTAGAAATAAGGGGTGCACCGACTGCAGTTTTCTGGTCCATCATCGATCTTTACAAAGTCTGARCTGCCGATTCCGATTTTGTCCGATACCGATTTTTTAAATAACTYACACTGTCAGGTGTTATAAGGTCATAATACACTGTCAACGTTCCAATCTTATTTTACTGAAAAYCAATGAACAATACCCTTGAAACAACATAAACTTGTTTTAACCGGACATTAGGTAGAGCACACAGCAGAGCAAAAGGGAGCAGTGGCTGATTTTCAGAGCCAATACTAAGCCAATTTTTTCCACCTATCTTATCTAAGTATTGGCCAATCTCCRAAAATTAGGGAAGCTGGTGCTGATAAATCGTCCGGTCTGATTTATCAGRGCACCCCTAGTAGAAATGAAARAATACACTAAYTATATGTCAGATTTTCAGAAATGCATTCAAACTAAATGACATACAGTAGCTTAAAGRCATTAAAAGCTCATTTTTATGACACTTCTTTTATGCTTTCTATTTTTAAATAAAGGACTCCATTAAGTATAAACAGGTTGGCACAAGGAGTGCCTGATCCTGGTCCTGGAGGGCCACTATCCTGCATGTTTGAGATTTGTCTCTGCTCTTCAGCAGGTCTTTGTGGTGTGTAGAAAATTGTAAATCACTCATTCATTAGAATCAGGTGCATCAAGGCAGTGAACCATGTAAAACATGCAGGATAACGGACATTGAGGACCAGGATTAGGCACCATTGACAAAMATGATTCAGAGTCACTGACCAAATAATGAAGCCAGGTCTGAGATTTAAATCCATTTAAATATATTTTTTTATCATCTGAACTGACTCTTGAGGAAAAAACTCTGTCTTGTCCGTCATTTGAACAGTTTGTGGAAAATGTGTCTATAAGAGCTTCTTTCAGAATTAACTGGTCGTTATCTGTTGCGGTCTTGTTAAAGTCGCCCAGTCTGCTCCAAACGGGATGCTACTTTCAACAAACCAAACAAACCCCAGAGCACTTTATCCAATGAGAGCAGAGCCAGGTGGGTCAGCAGGAGCAGGCTCCTCTCTTCTCCTCCCTCACTTCACTCATGGTACTTTGGTCTCTAAAACCTAACTTTGTATTAAATATTTGTGCTCAGAGCACCATTATCCAACACATATGTCCAACTTTGCACGTGTGACCAAGCTCCTCGTGCAAAGACTGCACGCAACGTGCAACATTCAAACAGTTTGTTAGTTCGTCATGCTTTTGCTCTCCAATTCTACAACATTTCACAAGTTATAAAGTATTCTGCCACACAGAGAATACAATAACATGAGCACCAAGTATAAAAACCTCCATCGCTGGCAAGGATGCACGCACTCAATGTTTTTGTAGTTTATCATATACATAGACGTCCTAAGCAAGCAGGGTTTGACAGCATGTTTTTTTTAAAGAAAGAAAGAAAGATATCYTCAGATTATCGATATTGTCAAATGAAAAAAATTATCGAGATATTTATTTTTGTCCATATCGCCCAGCCCTAGTAGGAAGGTAGACCGACCGGTAAATCAAGAGCTGAGCCTTTCACCACAACGGATCGGTACAGCGCCCACATCACTGCAGACGCAGCACCAAATCTGCCTATCAATCTCCCGCTCCATTCTTCCCTCATTCGTGAACAAGAACCCAAAATACTTAAAACTCCTTCACTRGGGGTGGGACCTCTTCCCCAACCTGGAGGAGGCACACTACCCTTTTCCGGCTCAAGACCATGGTCTCAGATTTGGGGGCACTGATCCTCATCCCAGCCAGTTCACACGCAGCTGCAAACCACTCCAGTGAGAGCTGGAGATCATGTTCAATAGGTTCATGGATATTTTAATAAGTTCAGTCATGAAACACAGTCTCTCTTTATCTTCTATTTATAGTTATCCTTCTTCTATTGTTGTATTATAGTTCTTTAAGATAAGATAAGATAAGATAAGATAAGATAAGATAAGATAAGATAAGATAAGATAAGATAAGATAAGATAAGATACAACTTTACTGATCCCACAGTGGGGAAATTTGCAAATGTATATCTTTAATGTGTAATTTATGTGATGCACAAATTTTGTTGTAGTTACGAAAAAATAAAATAACTGAGTTGAACCTAATTTAATTCAAATAGCATRTTAATTGTTTTGCCTGTATTGACCAATACCCAATAATCTCATGTGTGCACATCTACTCAAATATGAGCAACAGGATGCTGACTTCTGTTACAAATCCAGTCACACTTTAAATTTGTGGTAGTTTTAACCACAAACCAAAGGTGACATAAACACAAATACATTTTAATGGATCATATCAACACAACCTGAGAACATAGTGGTGAAAACCAGCATGTGTTTGTGCTGTCAGTGTTCTTTCTGTAAGGTATGGGTAAACAGCACGGAGACCACCTGATTTCGGTCACAGGGCACACACTCTGCTTTGCATCCATTGATGTAAACTGACAGGCTGGCATTTACATAGATGACCTACTTAGAAAAGCTGTCAGTCAGCTGGCTAACGGGGCATAGAGTGTAATTTTTTTTCATGCATGTGTTGTAGCTGTGAGCCACACAAACTTTGGCAAAATCACATCATTCGTGTACAGTAACATACAAGCCACAACGAACAACATGATGAATGCAGACGCCCGAGGCTGTCATAACACAGCGCTGGTTGATGTCTTTGACTCAAAAGCATAAATAAAACTGTGTCTTCTTCAACAAAATGTCACTAATGAGTGATGAAATGCCTATTTTAGATGTTTAAACATTTGGTTCATCATGTGGAAGCTTGTGTGTTTGTATCCACCATTAAACACACACACACACACACACACACACACACACACACACAC